TAGTTCTCCTCTTCGCCGCAGCCGCCATCGGCCTTTGACTCTTGGAAGTTGGATGTTGGTGATGGGGCTCTGCCAGATTGATGAGCTGGCAGTGGCGCCTGACAGTCCGAGAGTCTGACTGGTGGTGTTGGATCAAACTCAGGCTTGGAGGAAGTTGGCCAAGTGGCCCACGGTTTCGCTCTCATCCTCACGATGGAGATGGTTCAGCTCCTCCGAGAAGGCCACGACGAGTCGCTCCCAAGCGGGAGCTTAAATCATCCGAGTAAACCCCCTGAAGGAGGAGTCTTCTTTCTCGCCGCAGTAACCGTCCATAAAGCCCGCCATCTCCTCTTAAGGCCGTGGCCTCAAGCGGTGAGCGTCCTCGGACGAAGTCGGCACCGCGAAGGAAGCCCTCGGAGCGGTGATAAAACGAAACGAATCTCACGTCGAAACCCGACTGTGGATATGCCAGGCTTTTTTTTCAACGGGCGGGTTCAGGTTGCCATGGATAATGGCCCTTGGACATCGGGGCGTTGGCAGGTGGGATGCAATGTGATGGATGGACCATGGGGGAGGTTTGTTGGCACTGGATTGCGTGCGCGCGCGCAAAGTCCGGCGCGGGATGGATGAATGGGCCTTCAGACGCCGGATCACTATGTCACAGTCCCACCGACGGCCGGCCGACTGCCGTGCCGCCCCGAGACTAGAAACAATGGAAACGAAGCCTCAAGCCACCGAGTGCCGTAACACCCACTAGTGGCCAAGCCGACTAGTGGCCCGCGCGGAATCACGTCTTCTCGCATCATCATGGCGAATCCGCACCGGTGTCTCTCGTGGAACGAAGGCCCCCGTTTCGTTTTTGGTCGTTGAACCTCCAGGAAGTCCAGATCATCGTGAATTTCGGGGCTCTTTCTCTCAGCTACAAGCAGACCGGACACGGCCCCAATGTTATACTCACCCAGATTGCGGCTTCCGGCTGCCGGGAACCGGGCCAGAGGCAAATCTTTGGCAAAGTAAATCTACTCCGGCTCCCGGGGCGATGGCGCAATTGCGGGATGTCCACGGTACGGAGGATCCCCTGCCACTCGCGACCAATCACGTCTCGCCGCCCTCATCACGAAAGGTTTAGCGTCGATGTCGTGATTGCTCCCAGACCACGCCTCGTCGTAGGAGAGTTGCAAAATATTCCTCAAGCGCCTGGCTCTCAATGCACTTCCACTTGCCAGCTATTGCGCAATACCTGGGCAGGCTCCAGCGTGCGGGTGCCCATCTGCACTCCTCTATCGGCCTTTGGTTCGTTCGATCGTGCTAGAAGGGCGTCTTGGTGAAAAATCAAATTAGTAATGTTGCTTGATGATGCGCTGTGCCCGGAAAATGATGCTCCTCCCGCCCCCTTCCCGCCGTGTAAGTGTCCCTCCTGGTCCTCCGAGCCCGTTCCTCATAAAACAGTCTCTCGCCTTCCTTCTTTCACTCTGATCCAAATCTGATCTCACTTCACCCCAGACTAGCATCTTGCGTCATTTGCTTTTCGGTTCATCTCTTTCATCTCTTTCGACAAGAGCCGTCCTCAGCGAGTACACCCCGGGTTTTCAACATCACACCCTCACACAGCAACACTCACCATATAACCCCGGGTTTTCACCACCTCAGCAGCAGCAACCCCTCCTCCTCACCCAACCCTTCTGCCCTCTTTCACATTCACATCCTGACAGCACCTTCAACATGTCGTCCGCTGTTGAAGCTGCCACCGCGACGTCCTCCGTGGCGTCGTCCCCCAGACTCAACGCCGTCGAGGCCGCCAAGCTGGACCAGCAGGAGGTCGAGTCCGGGTACGGCTCCGCGACCGACGCCTCGTCGACGTCGTCCTCCATCGCAGCCATGCCGCTCATCTCCCTCACCCAGCCCCACCTCAAGCACCTCAACGACCAGCTCGAGGACATGCACCCCATCGACATCCTGCGCTTCTGCCGCGTCATGTTCCCCAACCTCTTCCAGTCCACCGCCTTCGGCCTCACCGGCCTCGTCACCCTCGACATGCTCTCCAAGATCCAGAAGGAGAACCCCGCCGCCGCCAACGTCGACCTCATCTTCCTCGACACCCTCTACCACTTCTCCGAGACCCACGCCCTCGTCGACCGCATCCAGCAGCGCTACCCCAACGTCAAGCTGCACGTCTTCAAGCCCTTCGGCGTCGACACCACCGCCCAGTTCGAGGCCATGTACGGCGCCCGCCTCTACGAGACCGAGGCCGAGATGTACGACTGGATCGCCAAAGTTGAGCCCCTGCAGCGCGCGTACCAGGAGCTCGGCGTCGCCGCCGTGCTGACCGGCCGCCGCCGCTCCCAGGGAGGCGCGCGCGACAAGATCCCCATCATCGAGGTCGACGACGAGCGCGGCGTCGTCAAGATCAACCCGCTCGTCAAGTGGTCCTTCAAGCAGGTCCAGGACTACATCAAGACGCACAACGTGCCGTACAACGACCTGCTCGACCGCGGGTATAAGTCCGTCGGCGACTGGCACTCGACGGTGCCCGTCAAGGAGGGCGAGGACGAGCGCGCCGGCCGCTGGAAGGGCCAGCAGAAGACCGAGTGCGGCATCCACAACAAGAAGTCGCGCTACGCGCAGTACCTCGAGGAGATGGAGCGCAAGGCCGTCGAGGCCAAGAAGGCGGCGCCGTCGTCGTCGGCCGAGGCTGAGAAGGCCGGCCAAGCTGCCGTCGCGCCTGTTGTCAAGGCGGAGAAGGAGGAGCAGGCCGTCGCGTCGCTGTGAGCGTCATGTCTTCCGGCGAGAGCGATTTTCTTTTTAACTTATAATGACCTGTACATATGATGGCATGACGGCGTTGAGATTTTGGGAGCATAACTAAAAAGGGAAACGGCACGGGACAGCATGCGGGCGTTCCGGATGATGGGTTTTCAAAGTCATAGAACCATGATTGTATCTCGCGCGTATCGCGGATACCACCCCAGATCCTATCAGATTAGATGGGAAAACATGAAATAAAATGAAGAATTCATGAAGACGCCTTGTTTGCTCTTGAGTGTGAAAGTGAAGTGAGGTGTGCGGGTGTGATGTGCGGCTCCATCCATCCTGCGTCCCGCTGAGACCCCGCATCCGGGACAAAAGTGGGTACGGGTGACCACGGCTCATAGGATGCTAACAGTCCAGAACGCAAAATGCACGAAATTATGTTAGGTCACTGACGTCCCGTGCCAAAAAGCTTATTTTGGCATCCACGCAAAGCTGCTCGTGACCTCCTTCCCAATCTTGCAGTGTCATTGGATGTGAGAGCCAAAGGATCTATCGTTGCACAAGATGTTTGCCCATCCTCCTAGGACCTTCGAATGAGGTGGTTTGCAGATTGGACCTGTATCGATCGCGTATTAGGAATCATTGGTCGTATGATCTTTGAAGCAGTTGGTCCTAAACGGATCGACGCAGCTGCAAATGTTAATTAGTTTTCAACGGTCTGTTATTTAATCTCGAGGTTCCTTGAACCGTTTTCATCGGCGCAATATTGTCTGTGGCTGCTCGTCAGTCATATAGCCACGCAAAAACCTGTCAGTGAGGAGGCCGTTGAGAAAGACAACGCAATGCATGGCTGAGAGGTTACGACTAGCCAGGTTCTTGAGCAGAATATAACATCAGGACTTGCGTTTGTGGTTTTTTTGTCTAATGGAATCATGTTGAAGGTTACTAGCACGAGGACGACGGGAACAGTAAATACCGGAATGAGCAGCTGTTGCGACATCTGTAATGGCTGTTGGAGGTAATCAGGCGAGTGGTCGGTATCGAAGTTGTTCCCATTTCAACACGTTTGAACTCTACTCGGTCTGGGCATAGCGCATCAGGCATCGCTAAGCCTTCTGCCGGATGAACAATAAAGTCACCAAGCGAACTTCCTGGGCGGACAAGCTTTTTTCTCTGATATTCAGGTTGGTACTATACCAGCTATCACACAACACACCGCAACTCGGTATATCATAGCCGTCACATCATAATAATACCTCTCTATCAGTGTTGCTACCACCGGGTACGGCCAAGCTCTCATGCAAGGGTCCATAATGACTTAATAGCCGTGTGTCCCGGCGATCCGCGGGCCTTAAATCCGCCCAGAATAAGATCAAAGCCTCTGAACTTGTGCTCATAATGCCAGTGTAAGTGCTGCACGATTTGTTGTGGGAAATCTGATGGTGTCATGACTCATAAGTAATGGTGTTATTTCAAAGTACGTTTTCATTGAGTTGTGGTCGAAAATTCACAACACCTCACTAAGCTGCTATAAAGCGAAAAGGAAGTTCTTTTCGACCGTACCTTGCATCAAACTAGGCGATCAGACTCAAAATTATTCGCTCGACATCGTGGACTGCCATCCGCTACCGTTCCTGGCTTCAAGCTTGTGTAAGCTCACGGTCAGCCTCGGATGGTCCAAGTCGCGTTCTCATTCTAGTTCAAAGGCAAACGCATAACACATAACAACTCAATATATATAAATTGAAAGGAACTGCTCGTACTAACGGTTCCCGGCTGCTCGGTGCCTCAAAACCAATCAAGCACGGCCTCATATCCAGAGAACCAGGTCACGCCCCCGGGAGGGTAAGACCTTATATTAAAGCCACAACACACGCACCGCGAGATAGGCTGATTTCTACAAGATATCGTCTGCTCTTTCGGTTCCCGGGATGTAACATCGGAGGGTAGGACAGCGCGTTGAAAAGAGGCTTGGTTCCGGCTCGCAAGCGGACAGGGCACCGTGTTTCAGTCGGAATTACACACGGTGCATGTACGTTCCGCAAACCACCACACACAATTTTCGCCAGCCACTGCGGGAACCTCACTTACACGGCCGAAAACAAGGTACGACACCAACAACAGCCCTGCATCAGACGATTGACAGGAACAAGTCTCCCGTCCACCCAGATTAGACTGCTCGGGTGCTGTCCCCGTGACCGCTGCACCCCGCATAGACAAACACACACGCATACAGTCACAACCACTCACTCCCAGGACAGGCACGAATCATGGCACCACAGCAGCGGGCCCAACTGCCCTCTCCGCCCGCGAGCTTCACGGCGCGCAAGCACAAGATTCTGCAGCAGCTGAGCGTGCCCGACGCGGAGTACACCGACGCTTCGCCCAAGGGGTCCGTGGACGTGGGCATCCGCGAGCTGATTGGCGAGCTCAACGAGCTGGACGGCTTCGTCACGACGAGCAGCTGCGCGGGGCGGGTGAGTGTTTTCCTCGAAGGGAAGAGGAAGGAGTCTTCGTCTGCACAGGAGGGTGGTGAAGCCAAGGACGGCTCGACGGAGGGTGAAGACGCTGCTGGTGCTGCGTTTGCGACGATAGCTGGGCCGGGCGGGAAGGGCGGCGGCGGCACGTGGTTGTTTGTATCGCACGATCCCATCCCTGGGCCGCATGATGAGGACGACAGGCTGCTGAGGCTGCTTGGTCTCGTGGATGAAGCCGAGGGGAGGAAGGCTGGACCCGGAGAGGCGGGAAGCACTCAGTCTGGGCGAAGGAGACGGCGGCTTATACACTTCAAGTTTGAGCCCATGGTATGTTTGACACCCTTCACTCACACGCAGTCATGCACTCGCTCCAAATCTCCCAATACTACCTACCCGCAGCTTGACTAACCACCCCCTCAGATCCTCCACGTCCTCACAGCATCCCCATCCCACGCCCAGCTCCTGCTCAAATGCGCCCTCGCAGCCGGCTTCCGCGAGAGCGGCGCCCTGAACCTGCTGCCCGCCGCATCATCCGCCGACGACCAGCAGCCATCCGTCACCCCCATCGTGGGCGTCCGCACGATGGGCCTCGGCCTCGAGTCCCTCGTCGGCTACGTCGACGACTCCAACGACACCCGCCACTGCACCGTCTCGGCGGACTACCTCCGCACCCTCGTGGACATCGCCAACGAGCGCTTCGTCGAGAACGCGGCGCGGATCGCGAGGTTCCGCGCCGCGCTGCAGGACGCCGTGGCGGGACCGCCCGCGAGGCTGGGCGAGGGCGGCGCCGAGTGGGAGGATGCGGCTGTCAGGAGGGAGCGTAAGAGGGCGGAGGGGTTGAGGCGGAAGGAGGAGAAGATGCTCGCTGCTAGGGAGAAGGAGACGCAGCGGGCTTCCGAGGGTTTGGTAGACGACGCTGTAGACCTGCCGGAATACCAACTTCATGGGCTTTGATGATGATGCATGACCAAAATTCATTTCGCCATCTATACACTTCTCTTTTTTATCTTGCCGCCGCACAATGTGTTGTACATCTCACCTTCTCCCTTTCTCCCCGACGTCCAATGGCGTCTTCCTCCCCTGATCCATCACAGAAAAAAAAATTGAAAACGCAAAATAGAAAGATGGATTATCAGGGATAGAAAAGACCCCAGCCGCTTGACGTCCCTCCTGCCCCTCCTTCCTCCGCCGTCTACACCAGCATGTTTACCGCCTGTCCTTTTCTCACGAGATGATCTTCTCAACCCAGCCCTTCTCCAACCTCTTCACCTCCTCCTTGAACGCCTCCACCTCCTTCCAGCAGTCGAGCGGCCGGCGGTCGTTCTCGCGCAGGCACCGCACGACCTCGCCGCGCGCCTTCTCCACGCCCTCGGGCAGCGCGCGCACCTGCTTGCGCTCCGCCAGCTTCGCGCGCAGCGCCTCGACCTCCTGCTTCACGCTGTCGTGGCTGCGCTGGCCCTCGGGCGCCGCGGCGGTCTCTTCCGAGGCGATCTTGTCGTGCGCGAGGCGGAGGGCCTCGGACTCCTTGGCCTGCAGGCGCTTCAGCTCCTCGGCGACGCGGCGCTGGATCTGGAGCTCGGCGAGCTGGGCGCGGGAGGCGTCGGTCTGTGAATTGGGGGGAGGGAGTTAGCTTTGGGAAGTACGGAGGGGGGTGTTTTGGAGGGGCTTTTTTGAAATCGCGCAGGGAAGGGTGCCGAGGCGGCGGGCATAGAAACGGAGCTCGGAGGGAGCAAATTTGGTATCCTGGCAGGTGACGAGAGTAGGAGAAGTTGATTTACCTCTGGGCTGGACTGCAGCTGCTCGACGAGGTCGTGCGAGATGCCCGAGGGCGCTGGGCTGCGGGCGCGGGTTAGCTGGGTTTGTTTCCCTGCACCGACGAGCAGACCGGTTCGGGGGATGGATTGGGAGGGCACTTACGCCTTCCACAGGTGTGGCGGCGTGTTGGAGGACGGCTTGGACTCGCTGGCACCCATGATTGCGGCCTCAATGGCTTGGGGGAGGTGACTTTGATATTGTTTGGCGGGCCGTGATGGTATGGAATTTTCCGGAGCCGTGAGAGCAGCGCCCAGGCCAGGTCCCGTCGTTGAGCTGGCACAGCTCCGATGGGCCGGCGGTTGTTTGGCGCACGTGACGGGCTGCGGTGATGGCAGTCTTAGTCATCCAGGCCTTATGTCAGCAGACATCTTCAGGCTTAGTAATTTTGAGCAGACAGCTGGCAGAGCACGTCAACGGCCAGCTGGCCAGGATCTGCCCTCCACAGCTTCTGGACAGCCTTCTGGAAGCCTTTTTTGATAGCGAGCACTAATAATTCTCAGACTTGCTGCCCGCTGTGGAGGTCTCACGTCCGTCGGTGACCCCCGCGCACTCCCACTACCCGCCTCTTATTCAACGCACTTCATCACCCTCATCTTGTTTCAAGGATCGCGGGCGACTTGAGAATGGGCGGAGATATGGGAGGGTCTCCAACATCGCAACTCGCAAGGTCTACGCGGTCAGCCTCGGCTGGGCCAGATTTTGACAGGACGGTTATCTCGGTGAGATTTATTTTTTCACGAAGAGAACCTGGGAAGGATTGAACCTGCACAGGATTGAACCTGCACCAAGCGAGAGGTTCGCACCTAGATCTCTTCCTCGGGCCTCTCCAAGCGAACTCTCTCAATAAACACCCATTCCCCCCGAAGGAAGGCCAAGCATCAGCATGGGATGTTGCCAAGAAGACGACAATATCGAAAAACAAGATGGCGGCTCAGCAAGGTCTTAAACCCAGCCAGTCGCAAGACACCCAAGAGGCGGCAGAGAAATGAACAGACCCCCAATGCTTAAACAGAGGACTCGGCGGGAAATCTCACGAAGAGGCCGCATATCTCGGCTTCATCTGCACGTGTTTGGCAGGACAGCCCGCTGGACCTTGACGGTGAGATACGCAGTAGATGGTGCTAATGCATGCCATGCCACGCCCGCCTACGCTCACCTGAAGCGGACGGGGCGCCAGCAATATCATTGAAACGGCTGGCCACCGAACAAGCAAATGACTTCATGGGTCGCGCACGCTGCAGCACGCCCACCTTTTCGCCCGCCCAGGCTGGCCCCGGCCAGGACCCAAGGCGGCTCGCTTCTGGCCCTCTCTGTCTCTCTCGGTCCCAGGCGTTGTGGTTGCTGCGGCCACTATGGACGACCCAGCCAGGCGGTTTGCGAACTTGCAAAGGGAAGAAGGGCCCCACGATGGCCCGCGATGGGAAGGGCAGAAAAGGCTCTTTTCGGAACTCGTCTCCGAGAACTGCGGGCAGGGAGGGCCGGGCTGGGCTCATTTGTTTGCGACGGCGCTTGACGAGGGACTCCCCCGCTGGGAAGAAGCACAGGGCCCCTCGTCGGGGGCACGGCTACACCGTCACATCCCGCAATTTGTCTGCGGCCGAGGCCAGCAGCACTTTCACTCAAAGAGGGCTGTTCTGTCCGCTGCGAGAACTCCAAGTCAGTTCGCGGGCAGGTGGTGACAATATGAAGGAACGGCCATCAGCCGCGGTGGTAGGGAACAACCCTTGTCGGCAGACCGCTCCGCCCTTGGTGATGGTGGGGGCCGGATCTCTCCCTTCTCTGGATTTTTGCGAATCGTCTCCCTTTTCAGATGCGGGTTCCTCAATTTTGGCGTTATCTTCAGTGTTGCGACCGTTCGGAGTGTTGCGAGGACAGGGGGTCGATCTGATGTCGATGGGGTTGTTGGTGTTCTAACCCAGACAACAGCTTTGACTTTTGACAGATCAGACAGGCCACACGGACGTCTGCGAACTGCAGGAGTGGCAGGTGTTGCACTTGCAAAAGTTACCCATTAGTTGCGAGTTTAAAATTCGCCCAGGGGCGGCGGGCGGCTGGCGACACCAACAGGATGATCTGTAGATTGTTCGATTCTGATCTCTCGGCGGCAGGGAAGGCGCGTCAGCGTTAGTGATGGTGATGGGAAATGCCCAGATGTGGTATATGAAAGACGCCGAGTGAGCAGAGATGAGGTGAGTGGGCGGCATTGACCGACGGGATGTCCTCAGATGTCGTCAAATGAATGCCACGGCTCAATCGGCCGAGAAGCACGGCACAGCATTATGGCTGAGACGGGTCCGTTGATTGAATGGTGAGGGGCTTGCTTCACATGCTGCGAGAGTCTGGCGGACGACTGGTTCTCCCAACTGTCAAAGAATTTTCGTCATCCCCCCCTCCTCCAAGGGATACCATATCCGTCGGAGCTGTCACTTGAGCCCATCTTAATGACACCTTGGAACCGAACGTCAGTTGCCGTGTTTTCCAGCTTGCTGCTCCACGGAAGGGAAGGATTGAGCAAAAGATGGGTACGCGGCGATATCTGCGCATCTTATGGCGCCCCGTAAGGAATGCGGTGCACGACGTCCGTGTCACCGGTTCCCACACGCACCACCGGAATTCGGGAGCCCTTCTTCTTCCAGACGGGAAACAGGACGCACTACGCAGGATCGAGCGTAGTGTCGTCTCGTGTACGCGTTGCAGCCGGAGTGCGACTGGGTACGGATATCTTGGTCGGATCTTGGGGCACGCAACGTTGGGCCTCGTGGCGCCCGGCGCAACGGTTTCCTTCTGTCTCTGGACGGGCAGCGTGTCCCAGACAAGGGACCCGAGGGGCCGGACGAACGATGGAAACAATCGAACAACCCTACCCCGAGATCTTTCCCTTTCCCCCCAAAGGCCAAAGGGGACTCGGACGAGAAAAGGATGGACTGAGAAGCCAACTGGTCTGTGATGTCTCTCGCTTCGGAATAATCGGCTGTCTAGACTGGCCGATTCCAGTGGTCATGGGCCAACAAGTGTGCAGGTTCTTGACAATGGGGTTTCGAATGGCTGCACGGGGTGGACAAACGCAACGGTCTGGACGGGTGCCTCCCAGCCAATTGTTGGCATGCCGCTCCGGTCATTTGGGCGTGCTCCAGGGCGGCTGGGCGGTGGATGAGAGGCCCAGAGAGGCCCAGAAAATCGACCGAGAAAAAGACCAGCAAGTCCTCGGTGACCCCTTGAGGTTGTGCATGTTGGTCATCATTTCCATGCCATGTGCAGAAGCATGGCATGTCGGGTTCAGGTTCAGGATCACCCATCCCCACCGAACGAACAGAGCAAAGGATTGGCTACTCGTCTTGGCTTTCTTGGTGTTCTCGGGTTGGCACCTGGCCATTGGCTCTGCGCGGCCGAAGCGACCGCTCCCCCGTCCCTGTTCATCCGGTCTTTTCCCCTGTCATTTGCTGGCAGGCCGCAGTCCCCCTGGGTGAACCCGCCAGACAGCGCTGTCAGTTGTCAAGCCCTCTCGCCGTGCGCTCGCCTGTGGTCCAGTCAGCGTGCAGCACACGGCGAGCTGACGGAGGGGACGGAGTCAGGAACGGCGCAGTTCTGACCAGTCGAAGGCCCCAGGGGCCAAGACGATGGCGAACAGCCCGGCAAACACTGGACCATTCAGACTGCGCGTTTGGCCAGGGAACGCGGCCAGGTGAAATCGGCCAGCAGCAAGCCACAGATGCAGTCTGCCAGAGCCAGTCAAACCGAGAGATGCCAACCAGTCAGCTGTTTCGTGTTCCTGATTTTCGCCAAGCACGCGGTGGTTCTCGTGCATCCTGCAGTGCTTGCTCAGGATGCCAATTCATCTTTGGTTTCCTCCTCAGTTGTGGACGACTGCTGACGGGAAGGGGTCCTGTCTCTGATCATCCGATTGAGCCGTGCTGGTGCGAGACCATTCGTCACGGAGGATTCAACGGCGCAGAATAGAGACATCCGATCCCTTCTTCATTCCAGCCAGTCGTCCGATTTGGCAAACAGTCAGCACTCAGACATCCAGTTACAGTTTGTCCTACTTTGCAAGATGCGACGACGACGACGGCAGCCTTCGCTTCCCGGAAGAACAATTAAGGTGTAGAGAGGCGAGGGAAGCGAATGGAAATCATGGTAAT